AACACTGGATGATCTCCGAAATCGCACTGAAAGAGCCGTGAGTGCAGCGACACCCGACACGCTCAATCCAGTATGGGATGAATGTGACTATGGTGTTGATGTCTGTACAGCTGGAGGAGGTTCATACTGAGACCTTGTACAATTACATAATAAACTTTATGCTCATTTAAACCATTTACAGTTCACTGCATTGATCTGTAACGATTTACAAGTGAAGTAAATCATTTTGAAATCAGATGAATCTTTTTGAATCAGCCTGTATTATTGTTTGGTCGATGATTCTCAACCCAGTGGTGACAGAGGTGTGTGACTGGTGCAGAAACACTGCGCACACTGTTATACCTCTAGCATGTTGGTGTCACTGCGGTATCTGGTCAGTGGTGGTCCTGTGGTTGTCCCTTCACTAATCATATCCTGCAGAGTGTGCCTTTATTGTGGGTGTATCTGTTAACCTGGCTGTGTGTGGGGAGGTGTGTGTAGCGCTGATGTGTCCATGTGTGTTTTTTATTTATTTATTCATTTATTTATTTTATTTTATGTTTTTCCTCAGGGCTGGGCATCTACGACAGCCCCCTGTTCCTGCCTACTCATGAGGAGGAGTCAGGTGGACGCAGCGTCCCCACCACACCTCTCCAAGTGGCCGCTCCTGGTATGTGTTACCAGCAACACACTCACTCACTCATCCACACTCATGCAAACAAATACACTGGTAACAAAGTAACAAAAGGAGAACAGACCAAAGTGTTTTAGGTCGATGAAGTTTGATCCCATCAGTGAACACAAGCTCACCGACAGCATTGTAAGAGAAGAAAAACAGCCTCAGACTTTGTTTCCACCTGGTTAATATCCTTCTCCAGACTTTCTCTACACAGAGTTAGTTGACCATCAGTTTGATCTGAAGTGGTTTTCTCTGTATCAAATATCATTTTGTCAAACATTTATCAAGGAACCTAAAGAGCTTCAGTAAAGTTTACCAGTCGTTAAAGTGGGCCACTGTAGACAGTGGAGGTGCAACACTTTGTCACCTACTAATGAGGGAGGAGAGTTGAAACCTATAGCCTTGGTGTCAGGCGGTAGAATTTGTTGGTGGAAAGTATGTAAGAGGAAGTGAACCCTTGTAATTGTGATGTTCCTTCATTCGGTGTTGTTCACTTTTAATCAGAGCTAATGGTTTCTGCCTCCTTCCAAACAGTGACAGCGTTTTCGGAGACATCCTCGGAGGTGACTGAACACGCCTCCCAGTCTGTGCCCATGGTCAGCACGTCCACACCGGGCCTGACAGCTGCAGCCGGCCCCAGCACCTCCGAAGAACGTGATGACCTCCTACTGGAAGCTGGAGGAGACGGGTGAGTGATGGCCACGGTGGAATAGATATACAGGAGATTTGCAGACTGTTGGTTGCGCGACTCAAAATTGCAAGTGTTGTTTGGTTTACCAACGTGGGCCATTGTGTGAAGCTGACATGACATTTTTCAGAGTTTTTAGCTTAGGAATTAGTCAGTGTGATGGCCGGTATTGGTAACCTGTAGTAAAGCGGTAACAGTCCCCAGTAACAGTAAAAACACATTTACCACTGGTTTAAAAATCCATCATGCAAACCAGGTGCAAAACTTCCACGTGAAAGTGTTGCTAGTAATATTAGTAAATGCTTTTATAATATTATACAGCAGCTATTTTCTGCACATTTAAGAGAACCAGTGGAAAACATAAAATTCATAAGTCTGAGATCATATCTGCTTTGTTTTCATAGTAACTTCAGTAAAGGCTGAATTTAGGACGGAACCCTTTACCGAACAACAGTTCTTAGGTCTGTAATCTTACTTTATTTCCAGAAAAGAAAACAGTATTACAGAAACATCATAAGTTGCCAAAATGTCCTAAATATTTTCTTAACTTTAATACAACCTCAGAGCATCTTAACTTGTTTTAATCGTCTGTTTCTACTGTTTTATGCAGTGATGCTGCACAGTTCACTATAACCAACATAATGATACGTTTATCTACACTGAAAACGGTGTTTTGACTTTTCTTTCCTAAAAGCGTTTTAAAGCCGGAGACGCTGCAGCTTCGATCTCCGCCGTCCTCTCTTATTACCTTCATGTGTTAATGTTGATGATGAAATATTACAGTGATGGTGGTGAATAATGAGGAGACGGAGCTGAACATGTGTCTGTTTATTAGGAGGAGTAACGTTAGCGCGCTCGGCTAAAGCGTTTGGGAAATGGAGACTGAAACTGTGGAGCGGCGACTCTGATAAACAGCTCGATGCTCTGACACAATATTATTAACTTTCAGTTTATCACGCTTTAGTTTTGTTTGGCCCTTTTTTTCTTTTTTTTTTAAACACCTCAGTAGCTAACATTAGCTGTCTGACTAGCTAACTTGATTGCGTGTTTACGTTTCAGCTGTGCACGTATGGTCGGTTGCTAGGTAACAGACATGACAGTTGATTGTCGCCTTTGATCGAGTAAGTTAAGATTTCTTAACTTGAGATAAGAAAAGATGCTGTAAGATAAGATTCTTAAATCGAGATGAGATTTGCTTCTGAATTCGTGAAAAATCTTATCTTGACCTGTCAGATCTTGCGTTAAGACGAAGATAAGAAATTTCTCGTGTTATAAAGCAAGTTCACCCAGTAAATGGAATGCAGTGAGCATAAGACGGGATCAACACAGATGGATTGCTGATTAACTGTACACAGCTATGAAACTTCAATTTTACATTATTTAGCAGATGTTCAGCGCAACAATGTTAGGTGCATGTAGAGTTAGGAGTTCCTGCCTGGACAGGAAATAACACACCTAGTTTTCTGTGGGAGGGGCAGTGGTGTTATCCACTATGCTGTAGTTGGAATGAAGGGACTACATGTGCATCTGCCAGCTAAAAACCAGGTGCTTATTTATTGGTTGTAATAACCGCAATTGCTGTGTTGGATTGATTTTATTACATTTTCACATTTATCAGCGAATATATTGGCCACCCATGTGTCAAACCCTTTTTGACAGAGTGTGAGTTGATACTGAGTGTGTTTATGCAGGAGCAGTGCTGAGGCAGCGTTGGAGCCTGCGTCTCAGACAGAGGCAGAGGAGCCGGCCCAGCCTTCAGACGACGCCAGTCTTCCCTCTACCAGCCAGGAGCCCTCTTCCAGCTCTGCAGGTACACAAACACACATGCACCACCCTTAAGCACCCCAGGATCTCTCATTGTCAGTTCACTCAGTTGATCTTAAAGTTCAGCCTGAAGATTTTAAGGCAGTAGTTTGATCAAATTTGCACAATTTGACCCAGTATCCCAAAAAGTAGTTCATCAGCCTAGACTCGTTTGGTGTCTGAAGTTTGATTCCTTAGTTTTGCACTGGGGTCATGAGGCTTATGTAGCTTAACAAGTAATAAAAGCTTATAAAGGAAGAGACAGTTCGCCAGTTGAAGAATGAGTTGGATAGCTCATTGTGGCAGGGCCCGAACTCCGAGCCCAGACGAGACCCTGCGAAGTCAGCGGGTAGAGGATGAAATCTGCAAGGGAGGAGGTTATGGCACATGAGTCCTGAGCCCCGCCTCCGGTCTCACGGCGAAGTCACTTTTGCCTCATTCTCGGTCCTGGTGGCCGAGCCAGAGATTGGGGCCAGTGACAGACTGAGGTGGAGCAATGAGCTGTCTGGCCCTCTCTGCTCAGAGCGCCTTTTGAAAAGAGCAGAGAGGGAACAGAGAGAGAGGGACGGGCAGAAGCAAAAGCTGGAAGAGCCCATCTTTGAGAAAAGGACTGAAAAGTCTCGTTTTGAAGCCACGGAAAAGTGGCCAGCATAAGCTTTGGTTTTGTTTGCTTTGTTTGGTTGTTTGCAGTGAAAATTTATGTTAATGGCTGCTGCAGCCCTGTCACTGCTTCCAGCGTCCAGCATCCTCCTTGAGCCCGGCGTGGCACACGGTGTCTGTTTACGGTTAAAGCCCAGCTCTTTCAGTGAAAGGAGCCAATCAGTTTGCTGGGAAGGCCACTAGTTAGAAAAGCCCTCCTTTGTGGAAGAGTTGTGGAAATGTGTGCATAAGCCGTAGCTGAAATAACCTGTTTCATGCATTAAGTGATCCTTATTAGTCCCACAACGGGGAAATTTCCCCTCCGCACCCATCCGTGCAGTGAAACTCCACATACACATACTAGTGAAGAGACACCCTGGGAGTCGGTGGGCAGCCCTATCCCCAGCGCCCGGGGAGCAGTTGGGGGTTAGGTTTCTTGCTCAAGGGCACCTCAGTCACTGTCGGCTCAGGGGGTCGAATCAGCAGCCTTCCGGTCGCAAGGCCGGTTCCCTGACCTCCAGCCCACGACTGATCCAGTTATTTGAGCCAAACACTACAAACTGTTCAAGCGAGTTTTGTCAGATTTTACCATTTCACAGATTTTTGAAATGTTAATGTTGCTTCCAGTTTCAGGTTTAAAGATCTTTCCCCAATCAGAGAAATGGGAGTTTGACTGGAAATAACTGCACAAGGCTGTTTTCAAAATGAACAGTTTCCTAGAAGGATTTTGTTATAACCCACCAATTAGCATTGAGTTGCTGTTAATTTATGATGGCAGTTGACTCATTGTGCTTCCAGTCCGCTGACATTTTGTATAAGACATTTAGGCCAAAGACAGCACAGTTTATCCCACCTAAATACACGATCTAATGACTAACACCCAGGTTTGGCTTGGGTTTAGTTTAAAGGGCTGTGCAGCTGTGTTGATGTAACCAGCGTTGTCACTCACTGTGTTAGTGTACTTATGTGGTTTTGTGGTTCAGTGAAACACATTCACACTCCGTCTTGCTCACCCCACCTTCTTATTCTCTCTCACTCTCTCGCACGCTTACTTTCACTCATTCTCAGACACGAGCAGCAGTCAACCTCCCAAAGCCAGGACTGCATCTGGAAGGCAGTGGACTCGAGCACGGCCCCACGGAGGCTTCGTTAAGAGAGGTAAAACAGCCCTTCGTTGTTGAAGGCATCCGTTGTCAAATGAACAGACCAAGATAAACTTGAGTGAAGTTTTATTAGGTTTAATAATGAAAATTACAAAATTGTCAAACATACTTTATATACAAAAGATGGTACATGTTTATAATCAATACCGTTTCTTCCTGCAGATGGATTAGGAGTTATGGGAGTTCGAGGGCGCTTTGCCAGATGAAGCAAATTCCAGAAGCGCTGCGTTCAATTTCGTTGCTACTACAACACAAATTGTGACTGCAGCTGTTGTTAAGATGCTTCATGTGTTTGATTATAATCATTTTCATTTATGTTTAATGTATGTGGGTAAGCCACGGCGTTGGTTGGTTTTTATGTGGATACAATAAAGACTTCTTTTGATAGAAAGACTAATAGTCATTAATATTTCAGTGTGATAGAATATCACTAAATGTCTAGTTTGTGTTGGCAAAGGGTTTTAAATGAGAAATTAACCTAATTTTCAAGGACCTAGTTTTACAGGCTTTGTGTTTCGGGGCATCTGAACCAGCTCTTTGCTGATTTTTGCTTCCCTGGTCCATCCCTGGGGGTGAGAATCACTGGTGTGTTGCCTTCCATCTTTAAACTGTAGTACTTGGCTGGAAAAGAGAACAGCACAGTATTATTAGCGGCAGTTGTAATAGTAGTAATGGTACATTGTTCACTACTCCCAAATACTGTAAAAAGTCATGTACAAATCTGATTTTAGTAAGTGATTAACTGCTCAGTTGCCAGAGGTGGATAGTGACTAGTTAAATTTACTCAAGTACATGTACTTCAGTAAAATATTGATAGATTTCTGAGTATTTTCAAATCATAATACTTTTACTTCTACTCAAGTATATCAGTGAGTAAATGAGTCTGTGTTATACTTAGTTGCATTTTAGTCATTTATATTTAGTTATTAATTCCTTTTTTGTGTTCATTTCATTGTTGGTGACATCTGTGCTATGAAAATAGTCACACTCGACATTGACAATTTGAAGCTTTTAGCATTAAAACATATATAAAACAAAGAACAGACCCCAACAAACTTTAGTTCCTATGCTGATAGATACTGGATTTAGTAAATGTCCCACTGTAGATCTAGAACCCATGTGTCAAACACAAATTAGGCCCGCCACGCAATCCTATCTGGCACGCAAAGGTTTCACAATGCGCTGTGTTCAGACTCTCCCACCCCAACAACTGTCTATGGAACAGCGGCTACACCTCAGTTCAACACAGTTCCACACCAGACAAATCACCAAAATAATGCATTTAAGCTGCATTTCAACCAATATAGACACTTAACATCAGAACAGCAGCGAAAAAGTTGAGCCTAAGTCAAAGAAAGGATGCCAGGTGTCTAGTTCAAGCAAATAGGGGGTTTTAAATACTTTGTGTCCATGTAATACGTCTATTTTAGTTCTGCATATTTTGAATAGCCAGTGGTCAGTTTGTGTTATAGCACAACATTAATTAAAAATGAAATAAAAACTTTTTTTCTCTGGCCCGCAGATTTGATGAGGTTTTTATTTTAACGTGGCCCTTTTACTGGTTGAGTTTGACACCCCTGATCTAGGAGTTACTCCAAGTACTTATGCAGTTCTTTTAGAATGATGGCATGTACTTTTTGGGAGCCTCATGTTTTGTTAGTGACAGCATGACCAGACAGTACGATCATCTCTCGTGGGTGTTTTTTTTTATCTGCCAGGTCTGTAGAAACGGTCAGATTTCCTACCCCACCCAAACCTCATGGAGACCCCAGCTAGACATGATTTCAGAGAAGGTCTGGAACAACCATGGCTGCATTCCAAAATATGCACGAATCGTTTTGTAGTTGGAGAAATCCTGAAAATGACGCTCATTCCACCGTATAGCAGTTGTGAATGAGCCACAAATGTTTTGGAAAATGTAACTCGGTTGTGGAAACATGTGCTGCTTAACTCACTCCTTGAGAAAATATAGTATTTGTATCCGTCCCCTCCTGACGACGGCACGGACACAGCAGAGGTCACAGTGGAGGGAAACCCTCTCCATGTCTTTCTGATGTCGATCTCCGGTCCGAGTTCAGGGTCTGAAACGGAGAAATTGATCAAAGTTTTGTCTTTTGTATCCATAACTTGATTATCTCAAGGCCTTTTGCTGTGTTCAGGTATAGATCCCTGTTGTATCCGAGTCATCCTTGTTAAAACAACCATCAGAACATGAGATGTTTATATAAAGGTATCAGGGCCTGATGTAGTTTGACCAACCACAGTGTTGAAGCGGTGCTTTAATATAAACACATGCTGTGTAGGTCAAAAGTTTGGGGACACCTAGCTTATCCAAAAACAGACGTTTTAATAAATGAGCATGATTTATTTGTCAGTGTGCAAAGACTAACCAGGTTTATTTTGCATAAAATATCAAGCTTGAAAATATTTCTGATAACTGGGGGGGAAACAAAATATTCCCCTAACAGCTTCAACCGATGTGCCCTTTCTTAATGCAAGCATTCGGCTTTTGCAGGCATTCCTGACTGTGTTGTCTGTCTGTATGAACAATGTGTGCAATGGTTACATTTTTGTCTTTCTCTGATGATGATCATGGTTTATTGTCATGTGATTTACATTAATTTACATCATCATTTACATGTGGAATTGTTTTATTCATTAATTCATTTATCATTATTAACCGCTTAATCCAGATAGGGCCAGTTGGGAGAGCAGAGAATCCCAAACAGGCCTGTCCCCCCCGCAACTTCCTCCAGCTCATTCTGGGGGACCCCGAGCTGCTCCCAGGCCAACTTGGAGATATAATCACTCCAGTGGGTCCTAGGACGACCCCGGGGTGTCATCCCAGTAGGCCGTGCCGGGTACACCCCCACCGGGAGGCGTCCAGGGGGTCATCCAGATCAGGTGCCCGAACTATTTTTTTATTATTGTTTTATGTAATTGTCATTTACATGTGATACTTCATATAAATCCGTGTACATTACATTAAATACATTATGCTTTGTGCTGCTTAAGAGATTTGTCGTTTTGTCATAGTTTTATAAAAAGGTTTTGATCTAAAACTGGCATGAGAAGTACATGCAAGTGTTCTAAGACAAAACAGTCTGGACCACTATTTTATCATTGTCAACATTACTTATAAAAACTCAGACACATGTTGGTTCACCGGTCACTTTAGATAGTAAATAAAATGACAATATTTGCACTGTAGACATTCTGACCCCTGGTTCCTATCGCCACCACTGTAAAGAGTCACGTTTCTCTGCAGGGCACTATTTAGCATCAAAATACTCTGAATGATGGAGAAATTCTGCTTTAAGTTCTTGTGAGCCAAAAAGAAAACATGCAAACGAAAAGATAAGTGACCCCAAACTTTTTGCTTTCCGGAAAAACCAAAGTCTCATTGACAGTTACGGTGTGTTCTCTTTGACTCGTGTAAACATAAGTGCTTATCTACACACAAACATTGCTCACTCCCTCTTGCAACAGTGCCCCCCACCTCCATTCACCCTTTAGTCCCTGTTTAGTGTTTTTCCCTGAGGATGCCTGGTACTAAGAAAAGCACTGCGTGTGTGTTTCGACTCCTGTTTGTATGAGAGAGGAGAGTCCAGTGCTGGTTACCTGCTTGCCTCTTGACCTTCATTGATACTGTGTACACAGCTGTGTTTCTGCCACATTGAGGTGTGATGCGGTAGCTGTATCTTTGAGCCAGTCCACCTGCAGACATCCAACAAAAACGGAAAATAGCATTAAATGTGTCAGTATCAGTTTAAGCCAGAGGCGTCCAAGCGTTTTTCAAAGGGGGCCGGAATGGACCATATCGAAATAGGGCCTCTGATAAAAAACTGCTCTGATAAAAAGCTGCTTTTTTTTGCCTTCTTGTCCTCTGAATATTTGTCGTAATGTCTGTCTAGCTTTAATAATGTGCTTTAATATTAAACTCATTACTGTCTCTTGACGTGTGAGACACATTTGTTACGGTTCTCGATGAAAAAGTCTCCCATCACTCTTAAAATTTCCGATTGTCACTCAGCTGCGCTGTTTGTGTGGTCGTGACTAAATGTCATTCAGTAATTAATTTGCAGGTTAATTGTATATTAATCGCAGGTTTACAGCTTTGCTGCCACCGTCAAGTGAAAGGAACGACTGCAACTGAAGTGCCTTCAAAAATACTGAAAAGTTAAACAACACATGAAACCAAATGAGCATCATTTGCATAATGCTAATAGGCTCCTGGTGGCTTTCATGCACTATTAGCTATGAAGTGATTCTATAAGTAACTGTGATTTTACTCCACCACTGATGAAGATGAGAGCAAGATTGTGCTGTTTGAACCTTTTTTGAAGAAAAACACGGACTCCTTCCTGCTCCGGTACTGAGGCATGGACAAAGCTGCGGTGATTTGACCACTCAGTCCGAAGCCCGCACTGACAGGTCTCGGGAATCCAGCGTCCATGATGCCGTTCTCAAACCTCCAGTAGTTATCGCCCTGAGGGAAACACGTTTCAAACTCTAAAATTCGTGTGGCTGTTCCTCACGTACGGAAGTCCAGAGCAGCCATGAGCTGTGGCCTATATTTTCTGGATTGTTATCTTGAGATAACTATAAGATAAGTAACTTGTTATTTTAAAATAACAATTTAGTTATCTTTAGATCACAAAATAATGAACTTGTTATCTTAAGATAACAACTTTTGTTATCTCAAGATAACAAGATATGTAATTTGTTACTTCAAGATAACAATCGTGTACTTACGGAAGTCTGGAGAGGCCATGAGCTGTCGCTATAATTTTCTGGATTGTTATCTTAGAATAACAAGATAAGTAACTTGTTATTTCAAGATAACAATTTTGTCTTGAGATAACAAGATAAATAACTCGATATCTCAAAATAACAATCCAGAAAAATATAACTGCCTCATAGCTTCTCTGGATGTTTGTACTTATGGAATATCACAGGATAATTCATTTGTTATCTTAAAATAACTTAAAATAATTGTTAACTCAAGATCATAAGATATGTAACTTGTTATTTCAAGATTACAGTTTTATCTTGAGATAAACAGGATAATAACCCGTTATCTCAAAATAACAATCCAGAAAATTATAACTACCTCGTGACCTCTTTGGATGTTTATACTTATGGAAGTCCAGAGCAGCCTTAAGCTGCTGCTCTAATTTTCTGGATTGTTATCTTGAGACAACAAGATAAGTAACTCATTGTTTAAAGGTAACAATTTTGTTATCTTGTGATAACAAGGTAAATAACTTGTTATCTCACGATAACAAATTTGTTATCTTGAGATCACAAGTAACTCATTATTTAAAGACAGCAACTTTTATTATCTCAAGATGACAAGATATGTAACTTGTTATTTCAAGATAACAATTTTGTTATCTTGAGATAACAAGACAGTTAACTCGTTATCTCAAAATAACAATCCAGAGGACTATAACCTCCTCATGGCCTCTCTGGACTTCCGTGGTTTCTTGTACATCACTCTCCGTGACTGGTAACGTTTTAACAGGTGATGGTTGGCTTACCTTGAAAAAGTAGGTCTTTCCTTCGCAGTTGCAGCGAGTGTAGACAGTATCGATAGGAGAGGGAATTCCCCACACGTCTGTGATTCCCAGAGGAGGCCCAGGGTTCCTTCTGGAGTCCAGTGTCCAAAAGTAGTGACCTAGTATAGAGTAGTAAGAGACACATTTAAAATACTGAGAAAATGTGACCACATGTTGGATTCATTCTGATTTATGCTGGCTTTGGGAACACAGCAGTGTTGTTGTGACATGGAATGTTGCACGGAAGCTAAAGAGCAGCCGCTTGGCACTTACCTCGGAAAACCACGATGGTGCCATTTCTGAGTGTGGTCAAGCCGTTGACTGGACGCCCACTACAGAGATTAGTGTCGTTGTTGGCATCTGTGGAAAGGAAACTTTTTTTAAATAATTCACAGGCAGCTACAAGAAGCACTGCACAGTGTGGACTGGCATTCAGAATTCATGGGCAGTCTTGTTTTCAATGATGTGTTGAGTTGCTATGAAGGAAATGCCTGATTCAAGTCTTTATGTATTCATTTCTGCTCTTTTAAATGTTACCAGATAGAAACAATACAGGCTGATTCAAAAAGATTCGTCTGATTTCAAAATGATTTATTTCACTTGTAAATCATTACAGATCAATGCAGTGAACTGTAAATGGTTTAAATGAGCATAAAGTTTATTATGTAATTGTACAAGGTCTCAGTATGAACCTCCTCCAGCTGTACAGACAACATCAACGCCATAGTCAAACTCATCCCATACTGGATTGAGCATGTCGGGTGTCGCTGCACTCACGGCTCTTTCAGTGCGATTTCGGAGATCATCCAGTGTTGTGGACCCAACGTCGAACGCTCTGAGCTGTTGGAGCTTCACTGCCCACGAAAATCACACTGCACAGTTATGACGGATTCACTCTTATTGAAGTGGAGAACGCAGAACGCTTTCTGCTCAGGGGTCTCATCTCCTCTCAGACTGAAGGGAGCCATCTTCCACTGACAGTCAGAAACTCTATGACCCCCCTCTTTCAATTGGAATGTGATTGGTTCCTAGGCGCCTCACGGTTGTAAAAATATGGCGCTTTGGAATCGGATGACTCTTTTTGAATCACCCTGTATTTTGAAAATAAAGTATATCTGTTACAGTATTAAGGATGCAATGGAACGTGATTATTAATGCTGCATTTGACAGTCTTTGTAAACCCATGAATGTCTGAGCTTACCTCAAGGAAATTGCTCTAGAACAGCGTTCCTCAACCCTGGAGGCCCACTACCCTGCACTTTTTAGTGTTTATTATTCTCCCACACCTGATCCTACTAATCAGCTCATTAACAGCCCTTTATTCAGTCAAAGTGAGTGTGTTAGAGCAGAAAAGCACTAAAACCTACAGGGCAGTGGGCCTCCAGGACCAGGCTTGAGGAACACTGCTCTAGGACATCTGACAAGCTAGCTAGGCGGGAACGTTCCCACAACTTTGGCTAATGTTACCTACAAGTTCTGATAATGTTTTTAACCCTTGTGTGGTGTTGATGTGTGTGTTACTCAGTGGTCTGGTGGACCCACCACATTATTGTTTTATAAATCAATACAGCCATAACAACATATGTAAAAATACCAGATGTTTAAAATATCACAAGTGTCCAGTGTAGGGTTCTCCTTTAGCAGCTGTAGCCAGTCAGCAGCCTGTCCAGGTTGTCCACCCTCACACACACATATACACACACACACACACACACACACACACACATACACTAACAGCAGGCCATGTAGGTGGAGAACAGAGTGAAGGACACAGCACCTCCACACTTTTACTTCCCGCGGGTTCACCCAACACCACATGTGTAATATAAATGTGTGGGGGGTGAACAGAGTGAAGACACTGAAAATGGGTTATTTTATATGTTCTTCACAGAAAATGAGCAAAGACCAAGAATCTGAGGTTGAAATAATAATAAGTCATGTAATTTTTTCTTTTGATAAACACTGAAAATGAGCCCCACAGACCTGAACACCACACAAGCGTTAAAAAGCCTTTTAATCTTATGTTCAAAGAACATCTTAAGGATGTTTATCATTTCAAATAATGTTCCTATAAGATTAAATGTTAAATAAGACAATGTGTTAACAGCAACATTCAGAGGGTGTTTTGAGGATGCTGCTGGGGCCACAGATGATGTTACATGATGATGTTTTAGAGAACGTTCCCAAAAGAACATTCCGGGAACAAAAAAAAACCTTTTTGTTGAAAACATTAATAAAACTTGTGCAAAATATTCTCTGAACGTTTTTAGAACGAAAACATTCGTCATAAATACTTAAACTCAGGCAATTCTCTGATCGCTGGTCCATCATAGCAGCTGTAAGTTTTGTTCATGTGAAATTTATCAGTTGTCGATCACCGTCGCAAACAACTGGCAGCTGTGATTTGATGACATGATGATTGACGTTATTCACTTACCTGCCTGATAATCCTGAGTGCTCCCCTCATCAAGAACTTTAGGTTTAGTGGGCTTTTCTGGTGCTTTGGTTGGAGAAGGATCCACTTTCTCAGAAGCAGGAGTAGCGGAAGGAGCTTTTGTCGACGGGGAATCCTTTATATTTTCCTGCGGTTTTGTTGGTTCGGCAGCGCTAGGCTTCTCTGTTGGGTCCAAGTTGGTGGCGCTCACCCCTTCGCATCCCTTTGCGTTTTCACTGGGCTCTAATTGAAGCTGTTCTGTCTGGGGTTCAGGCTTCGTCTCTGGGGCCAACACTCCTTCAGTCTGGTCTGGGCTTGTGGGTTTAAGCTCAGTTGGATTAGAGGCATCAATTTCAAGATCACTTGGATGAGCAGTGGTTGGAAGAGTGGTTTTGGGGTCTGAGGTACTCTCAATGTTTGCTTGGGCATCCTGGTCAGATGCTGGAGTGGGGCCTAATCCAGGGCTTGTGGGAAATAGAGGCTGATCTGATGGCTGCTGGGTGGTGGTGGGCTTAGTGGAGGTTACCAGAGGAGGTAGAGTAGGAGGTGAAGGGATGGGAGAATGCTCAGATTCAGAGGCAGCCTGGGGGCTTTCAGGGTTTTCTTCTGGTACAGGAAGGTCCTTCAGATCTGCAGGAAGTACAGAAGAAGAAATGCTTACAGCTGTGCTGCCTGCTCCTGGGGACCACTTGCATGCATAGTTTCACCTGTTCTCTGCCATAACACACCTGATCCAGCTCATGAAAGCTGTGAGGATCAGTTGATGAGTGCTGAGGGTAGGTTATATTTGAAACTATGTAAAGCAAAGGGTCTCCAGGAACAGGATGAGGACCCACTGACAGAAAAACGGCATTTCATCAGGTCTACATTTTATCTGTCATGAGAGCAGTGGTGGACAGTAACTAAGTAAATACTTACTTTATAATACTTACTTAAATACGTACTTTACTGAAGTTTTTCCATTTTGGGTGACTGTTTTACTTTCACTCCACTACATTTCAAAGTAAATATCTCACTTTTTACTCCACTACATTATGAGAAATCTGTCGTTCCTTTTGGTTTATGTGTGAATAAAAACGTAACATGTCAAAACGAAAGAAGCACAAAGCAAGAACACCAATCAGGGCACAGCGCACTTAGTTTTGAGCTTGTTTTGACCTGTTGGTCATACCGACCCAGTGCAGCACACGGGTCAACGTCAGTGCAGTAGTGTAACATTTTGGGAGAGTCTATTCAACATAAATGATGAACTAACCTAACTTTGTGTAAACAGACCACAATATAGAAATATGTACACATATGCAGTTGTGACTGACGTGTCTTTTTTCTGAATTTATACAAACACTATTTCATTTTATAGTAAATTTGTTTTGTCTAGTTTATGTTTATGAACAGAGACCTACAGATGCAGTTTAGTAAAGGAAACTCATTTGTGAATCTGAGTTTAAAGTTTTTATTAAACTTAAACTTTGTAACTAAGCTGCAAATAAATCTTAAACTGAAACTTTAAGTTTGTAAAAAGTTATTTCAGAGCCACTCAGTTCGCTGCAGCCAGAGTTCTCAGCAAAAAAATTGACCACATTAGCCCAGTTTTGTGTACCTTACATTGGTTGCCAGTTAAATTCCGCATTGAGTACAAAATTCTTCTACTGACGTATAAAGCTCTGAATGGCCTTGATCCTCAGTACCTCAGTGACCTTATTTCCTATTATCAACTGACACGCCCACTTAGATCACAAGGTGCTGCTCATTATTAGTACCCAGAATAAATAAAGTTACGTCAGGGGGAGGAGCCTTTTCATGCCACGCCCCCCAGCTTTGGAATAGCCTACCAGTCTGTGTTTGGGACTCAGACACAGCCTCCATCTTTAAGTCTAGGCTAAAAACTTACCTGTGTTATCCTCAGGCAGGACAGGGGGAAGTGTTGGCTCGATTTCAGCCGAGTCCATCGCCTTATCTTCAGGAGCAGCTGAGGGCAATGACTCGCTTCCACTGGCAACCTCTGGAACAGGGGTCCCATCAATGATCACTGAAGTCGAAAGAACATATGTAGTGCAGGCCAGAGTGTCATAAAGCATTATAACTGGTGCAGAAAACTAATGCAGCATTAATTGGATTACAGAAAGAAGAAAGTTCAGAAAAAGAAAAGTCAGTGGACTTAAAAAAGGGTTCTTTAAGTAAAGGCAATGGTTCATGAGTTCTATATAGAACCATTTCATGCCTAAATGGTTCTTTGCATGGTGAAAGAGTTCTTCAGATTGATTGAGACTGTGCTGTATATCTTTGGTCTATATAGAACCAAAAAGGGTTCTTCTATTGTTACAAGCTTGACACTGTAACAATAGTATATGGAACCATATACAACACATTCTCCATCAATCAGAACCATTTCACCATGCAAAGAATCATTTAAGCATGAAATGATTCTATATTGAATAATGATTCTAAAAAGAGCCATTGTCTTTACTCAAGAACCCTTATAGAACCATCTTTTTTTCCATCAAAATGGAAGAATAGCCAATCTAATCCACAGTTCATCTGTTTCGATGCTTATGCTCAACTAAAATAAGTTGATCTAGACACTAAAAGTGTTAGAATTTCACAACAACGCCAAATACTCTTAAATAAAAACATTTGTTTGTATTTAAAGGTATTAAAATAGCAATTAGTGACAACAACAATAACTATTTGAACTTTATTGTCTTACTACTTGTGGAGGGCACATAGTTATATCACTCTCACCTTCTTCATCAGGGTCATAGTCGTCTAAACCAGTCGCCAAGTGAATATCAGAAAAAGCAGAAGTGAGAAACGTTAAAAAACTTTTATTATCTAATGCATCCATATTTTGCAATAATGACACATAATCTTGAAATATTGGCACAATATCTCAAAATAATGACTCATTATGTCAAAACATAGACTTAATATCCTACAGTAATGACTTATTTTCTGACAATATTGATTTAATGTTTCAAAATAATGACTTATTATTCCTGAAATAATTACTCACTTTTTTCAACATGGTACGCCAGAATTTTGATTTAATAACTGAAAATGTCAAGGAGATAATTTACAATTTAGAGAAAATAAGCCATCGTTTTAAGATACTAAGTCACAATTTTGACAGTTATGCCAAACAAAGTACTTTAAAGTTTCCCTTTATTAGTCCCACAATGGGGAATTTCACCTCCGCATTTTGACCCATCCATGCAGTGAAACACCACATACACACTAGTGAACACACACACACACACACTAGGGGGCAGTGAGCACACTTGCCCAGAGCGGTGGGCAGCCCCATCCACAGCGCCCGGGGAGCCGTTGGGGGGTGCCTTGCTCAAGGGCACTTCAGTCACATACTCAGGGGATCAAACCAGCAACCTTCCGGTCACAAGGCTGGTTCCCCAACCTCCAGCCCACGACTTTAAACCAGCAGATATGTTTAAATATGTATCTGTTACATTTTGCACAGTGATTGCAGTCTTGTTACCTTTGTAGATCCCTAACAATTTGCAATATGAAACTCATAAGGCCTCAAATTATTACATGCTGGTGCCACATATTGGTGAGCAACATTTTCCTGTTTGGTGTTTCGTTTCTGTTTTTGAAGCTCAGTTCAGTTTAATGGGTCCAGCATGAAACACGAAAGCTGGAACAGAGTTCAACATTCCCGACAGGAACTCCCAAGAACTGCTTGACTGGTAATGCTCAGTAATATTGCACAATTACCCATGAGTCACCATTCTTTCACTCTTTCTCTGCTCCTCCCTCCCTTTCGCTGCCTCTGCTCCATTCAGTGATGGTGACTTTACTTCCTGATGTTAGTTTTGGCACCTAAAGCCGGCTTTACTTCTACTGCTAAAGAGACTCGACCTCACCAGCTAAACTCTCATGTCTGCATGAATTTAGCCACGCGTTCATGAAGGAACACAGTCTGTCTTAAAGGAAATAGTCGGAGTTAAAAGCCAAAATTGTTCATAGGCGCCAATTAGTATTTGCATGTTTTGCATTGCATGTTGTTCATTGTGACCAGCTTTCAGTCACTGGTAGCCACAAGTGAAATCAACCTAAACCTAGTAAATATATCTAATATTTCCCATTTCATGACTGTTTTAAGCTAATTATAAGATTATTTAACTTAATTTTAGATTTTTTTTTAAACTTGTTTTATATGAAGGACCAGATCTGCCAAAATGAAAAAATAGCTAAAATTTAAAATAAATAACTCTGTTAATTAATATATGAATTACAATGGCAAAGAATAATGATGATAAATATAAAAATTACATAAATATTCATAGAAATTAATATATTAATAAATAAAAACCTTACTTAAATCAATATGTTTGCATTTACTTATGTCTATTTAGTAATTACTAATTTTTGTATTCATTTATTTTGTTATTTATATGTTTCTTTATTAACATATTTTCTTTTTTATTCATTTATTTCCACAGCTATTCATTTCTATATTTCTTTATTTCTGTATTTCCTTGTCCTTATGATAATAAATTAATTATTATCATATTAAATGAATTCAATTAATAAAAAATAATAAATAATACAAAAAAATAAATAAATTGAGAAATATATAACAGCATAAAAATGAAGTATATGTATAATAACAATAAACAAAATAAACAATATATAGTTTATTTGGTTGTTTTTACTTATTGATTAATTTATGTCATTTATTTTTATTTTTATTTCTGTTTCATTTTGGCAGATATGGTCCATCATAGTTTTAAGTGATAGTAAGTTTAAAGTTTGTATTAAACTTAAACTTTGTAACTAATTTGCAAATAAATCTTAAACTGAAACTTTGTTTGTTTGTAAAAAGTGATTTCAGAGCCACTCAGTTCTACCTGACGGAAACTGTTTGCCTTCAGTGTTTTGTGCTTATGATAATTTTAATAGACATCAGCGTCACTAATTAATGACCTTCTATTAAAAGACTGGTTTACCAAGAGAGACACTGGAGTATTTTCACCTAAAATGAGTTAATGAAGCGAGTCTTGTTACAAAAATGATAATAGGACATTAAAATCATAATTAATCTTTTAATACTTTTACTTTTGATACTTAAGTACATTTGAAGGCAAATACTTTTGTACTTTTACTCAAGTGGAGGAACTTCTACTTTTACTGGAGTAATATTTTACCTTTGGTATCTCTACTTTAACTCAAGTACATGGTTTGTGTACTTTGTCCACCACTGCTGACCCCTAATCACCACCACTACCACCATTTGTCCATTTTAGCTTTGTATCAACTCCCAACACAGCTGAGTCTGGATCTTTACATATTATTTACCTATTAAAAGAGATTAAGAACCTCTGGTTCTGGGCCCGGGGAGCAGCTGGGGGTTAGGTGGGCACTTCGGTCATGTCCTATCAGTTAAGGGGATTGAACCAGCAACTTTCCAGTCACAAGGCTGGTCCCCTAACCTCCAGCCCATGTCTGATCAGGCATAACATTATGACCACCTCCTTGTTTCTACGCTCATTGTCCATTTTATCAGCTCCACTTACTATATAGGTGCACTTTGTAGTTCTACAGTTACAGACTGTAGTCCATCTGTTTCTCTGCATACTTTGTTAGCCCCCTTTTACCCTGTTCTTCAGTGGGTCAGGACCCCCATGGACCCTCACAGAGCAGGTATTATTTGGGTGGTGGATCATTCTCAGCACTGCAGTAACACTGACGTGGTGGTGGTGTGTTAGTATGTGTTGTGCTGGTCTGAGTGGATCAGAGGAGTTTTGTTTTTTTCTCCTTCCCAGTTTCTGGCAGCATTAAGCAGTCGAAATATTGATGTAGTGTCTCTAATTTTCTTAAAATATTGACTTCTTGTCTCAAAATATTGGCTTATTATCTCAAAACAATGACTTGTTTTCTCTAAATAGTGAATTAACATTCCAAAAATATTTTTTTCCTTGAAGTTTTGAGTTTCTCAAATTACTGACTTAAAATCTTGAAAGAATGACATGTTCTCAAAATATTGACTTAACAACTCAAAATAGTGACTCATTTCCACAAAATATTAACTGGATATCTCAAAAACAGGACTGATTTCTCAAAATCTAGACAAAAATGAAAAATATGTCAAAATGTCAAAATGAAAAATAAATAAAATTAAAAATAAACAACTTAGTTAATTAATATATGAATTAGAATTGCAAAGAATAATGATGATAAATCTAAAAATACATAAATATACATAGAAATTAATGGACTGAATCTCTCAAAAAAGGACTGATTTTCCCAAAATATAGACTTAAATATCTTGCAACAATGACTTATTTTCTTGAAATATTCACTTATTTTGTTCATATTTTCATATATTAACTAAATAATGAGTTATTAAATTTAAAGAAATTAAGTCAGGATAGTAAGTCTTTATTAAAGATACTAAGTCATTATTTTGGAGGACATTATTCTTATATTAAGCCAATATTTTGACATAGTAAGTCATTATTTTAAGACAGTAAGTACTTATTTTGCCATTCTATGCTATTATTACCAGACACTAAGCCATAATTTTGAAGTGAGTCAATATTCAATATATTCAAAATCAGTTATTTCTAGATATTTAGTCAATAATTTGAGAAAATATGCCATTATTTCAAAATACGAAGCTTCCAGTGAGCTTTGATACTATCGAGTATCCGCCCATGTGAGTTTGTGCTATTTCAGACTAGATTTGTTACAGCATTGGATCTGATTTATTCGTTTTTCCCTCCCCTGTCCGACCCAGCATTTTATGCTGATATCAGCCTAATATTGATATCTGATATTGTATTAGTGCCATCTCTGATCTGCAGCATAAGAAACAGCATCCAAGTACTGGTGAGTGAAGCATGTCGCTGTTGTCGGAAGAAAAACCTCGTATCTCCAAAATGGTAACTTTACAGGAGAAGGAAAAAACCTACTTTACTTTTAATGTAAGTCAGTGGAACCAGACTTTTTTCCAAGTCATTTAGGGTCGTTTCTTTACCTCCATTCTTAATGAAATTTACACACAATGTAAAGAGTAACAGGTACTTTGAAATTATGTAAAAACTGAAAAACGACAAAAATGGAGATACGAGGTTTTCTTCAGACAGCAGCGATATTATCAAAAATACTGCACATATACAAGCAGTTAGTGTGTGTTAGTGCTGTAATATTGTAAAAAATGCTCTTTTGTGGTGGTATAAACATTTTTTAAAACGTTACATACAGCAGTCAGGACTAAGATGCAGTTGGAGACTTACCTTCTACTGTGCACTGCGCCTCATAGTCTGGACAGCACTGTTTGAATTTAACACACTCAATATCACAGTGACACACTTGTCCTCGCTTAAAATGCTCCCCACATCGGCCTTTACACGAATCACCTGGGATCACAACACAGAATGACCTTCTATTAGTGCCATGGTCAGTGTTAAAGACCCAGTCAGGTCTATGTGAGTGTTAAGCCACAGCTTTCAAGTAGGAATAATCATTGAGTCGTTCTACAGAAACATCCTTTATTGTGTCCCTAGCATTCACAGATATGTTACACTTGAAAGACCTGTTAGTGTTACAATTAATTTATATTTTAAAATAAAACAATGTCATTTCAACAATTACACCTTCTTGAGCTTCAATTTAGCAATATTGGTTTTTAAATCAATTATATAGAATTCCAAGCACCACAGAAGAGCTCATCCCCACAGTCATGTGTAAAGGCTGAGGCCATATTTTGAAGTAAAAAACATGTTTTTCTGCAATTTTAACTACAATAATCTATAAATAACTATGAAATATATGAATTAAATGACAAAGAAAACAAAAGCCAAATAAATATTATAAAATATATAATGAAAGTCGTGTCACTGGTGTTACCGCGTAATAAAAAATCTCTTATTTTGAAATAAAAATCACACTGATGACATCACTCGACTTTCTTTTACCTGTTTTCTGAGGATCTATGAAGAAAAGCACATGGTGAGTCCACTGAGTCTTTCAGTTATCAGAGATTTTCTCATTCAGCTCATGATTTCATATGAAGCTTTTAGCTGAAGTCACTGGTGTGACCGACTTTATTCTGAGGTCATTGTGAAAAAATAGAATACAAACGGATTAAATTACATATTTTAGTGGATATTCCATGATTGACAACATGTGGTTTGATGCTCTGTAGTGGCCATGTGTTAAAATGCGTTTTCATTAAAAATGTCTCTGGTGTTCCTTTATTATGTATAACACCAATGAGGATCAGTATCACCAGTGACTCCTATGGACAGATAGAAAAGTGGACGTTTCTGTAGAATGACCCCATTACATTCTTCAAAGAAGCAGAGCAACATTCTCTCAGCAACAGCATCTTGATTTTCTTCATTCCCATGAATTTCCCACATCTGATCAGGTTACACATAGCTTTAAAACTCTTCCTGATTATGGCTTTAAATTGGAATTTCCTCAGTTCAAATAGATTTTCCCTTATTTAAAATGTTATGGATCAGTCAAGACACTGTACTCTGAGTTTGCTCCTTTGTTTTTGGACTGGAGCTACGTAGCTCATTTAGACGAGTGATTCCACGATTGACACGCCATTTAGACGCTGTAATTCTTAAACATTAAACTAGATTTTTTATCATTTTTAAGACTGAATCTAAGAAATTATGCATTCAACCATTCGACAAAATGTTTTAACTCATCTCAGGAACAATATCTTAATCTTACAAGGTTTCATTGAGAAATAGGGTTGAGTTTTCAGCTTAGAATTAGAAAAGGGACAAACTGCACATATTTATTCAGTACTGTCATTATATGCTGTTACCTGCGCCTCCCTGTCCAGTCATTATTGCGATGCCTTTTTATGTCAGGATAGATCTTATTGCATATTTTGCATATTTCTAGTTGTATATATGCCAGTAGATAGGTTTTTGTATATATTCGTCTTTGTATATATTGTATCACCCTTATTATTATAACTGTGCTGTGTTAAGTGACTGATACTGGCTGCTAAATTTCCTTTGGGATCAATAAAGTATCTATCTATCTATCTATCTATCTATCTATCTATCTATGTGGTTAACTAGCATTCATGCTAATGATATGAGGACACTAAGGACATTCTAATGATTTACAGTACACTTTAGATGCTTTGTAGATACTTAATTTAGTTTTAAGCTACATTCAACTAATTATCTACTTAATTCACTAAAATTGTCCTTAATTCTAAACTCTGCTCTAATCCTAACCCTAACCTTAACCTCAACCCAAAACCTAAACCCAACCCTCACCCTGGTCTTAGCCCTAACCCTGGTCCAAATCCTAACCCTAACCCCACCACTGTTTATAATCAACAGTTAGTTAGTTAACAATTTGAACATCTGTAGATAATCTATACTGCACCATCCAAGTAAAGTGAGACCAAAACATATTCTTTATAATTATTGATTTACCTTTTATCTATAATTTGGGTGACAGTGTTGAACGTTCAAAGCGGCCTTGTCCGTCAATATCACAATAGTGTTGGAAATAAAGAAAAAAGGAATGAAAGAAGATATTTTTCTTCTTCTTCTGATGTTCTGACGATCCTTCCTGTTGAATATGTGGCTTGTGGAATATTCCCGATATTTCAGAGGGGTGAATGTCTTTTACCTTTCTGTACATATCAGAGGGTCGCAAATGGGACCCCAATCATAGCATCACCCAGCTAACAACTAATAGGAGCTTAGGAGTCACATCACTATATCACCTCTCTTGTTAATAAATATGCTTATATTCATTGTGTTGTAACTACCTCATACCACTTAGTGCAACGCCTGCTCTCATGTAAATACAACAAATCTGTTTTATATGCTACGTAAATATACAATACATATACTTATTCCTACTTTCTCATAGTTTAATTTATGTCTATTTTTCTATTTCAGCCTAATTCATGTCTGTTTTTATTCCTATTTTATTTCTGCCTAATATGTGTAAATTTGTGTGAAATTTTATGTGTGGCAACTGAAACACTGCAAATTCCCATTCAGGATCAATAAAGTTTGTTCTTTCTTTCTTTCTTTCTTTCTATCTATCTATCTATCTATCTATCTATCTATCTATCTGTCTGTCTATCTATTTCTTTGCATATCTGTCCTTCTCTCACTGCATGTCTTTATCTATCTATTTATCTATCTATCTGTCTGTCTATCTGTCTGTCTATCTGTCTATCTATCTATCTATCTATCTATCTATCTATCTATCTATCTATCTATCTCTCTATCTATCGATCTATCTATCTTCTTAATCTATCTTAATCTATCTATCCCTCCCTCCCTCCCTCCTTCCCTTCCTCCATCCATTTTCTTAATCTATCTTAATCTATCTATCTATGCCTCCTTCCCTCCCTCCATGCAGAACTAAAGAAGGAAACTTCAGAGACCAAACATGTCTGGGTTGACTGACTAAATTTGGGGTAAGTAGAGAATTGTGAAAATCTAATTTTTCAACAACTATTCTTCAGCTATTGCTTCAAACAACCAACATCCTTTAACGTCTTAACAGTTTTATTACACATTTCAATAACCTAAGAATAGCTCTATTAGTTTGCATTGAAGTCCCTATTAGAAATAAAGGTTCTGTTCAGGTACATTTTTCATTCATCAAACTACAAACAGTGTAAACGTTCCCTCAAAGGTACAACAGTGGTTTTAAGGTCTGATTGTGAACCTTAAATACGTTTTTCCAGGTGAAAAGTTCGTATTTGTACCTTTTCATAACCGAATGTTTTAAAACAGAACAGTAAAATAAAAGCCTGGAGACGAGACGGGGTGTGTGGAGTCAGTACAGCTTAGAACATATCATTTCAGTGGATTATGGTTCAGTTATGTTCCCTGACTAAAGGTACTGAGATATAAACTTGAGGGAACCACCCCAGTGACAGGAGGGGCACTGCCCCAGTGACAGTTTAGTACCTCTAGTACCTTAGAGGGTGTGGTTACTCAATAATAATCCTTTGTATGAACTAAACCCGGATTGTTAAGGGGCTTAACAGAACTTTCTTCAAATCTAGAGTAATAAGACGGAGCATGGCACTAAATGTGAGCATGTATATGATGAGATCACTGCTGTTCACAGGTCAAAGCAGAGGAAACTAACCTGTGGTACAAAGAGACTCGTAGTTTTTGCAGCACTCTTTGTGTGAGAGACACTCGTAGTCACACTGACATGCGTTTCCTCGGTAATACGCTTCTCCACAACGGCCTCTGCAGCTTTCTGTAAATCACATAAATAACACAGAGTGAGTGATTAATGGCACACTTGGTAGAAAAGAGGCAAAAAGTTTAGGAAAATATTGTTAAGTTTGATCTTAAGCAACAAATGTGAGAAGTCTAATCACTGAGAGAGGCAAAAAAGAAAGTCTTTATTAAACGATCGAAGAAACATTGGTCACCGTTATTGGATCCCTGGGAAATGTGTTGAATGTAATACAGTGGGGATACTGTATAAACATTTATCCTCATTCATAGTTCATCTTCTTTGAACACACCTAGTCTTTAAAGGCCATCATAACTGTGGTACAAATGAGGAGATTCATTCTAAAATGCATTATAGACCATTTTCATGGTTTTTCTCTTTTTTTTATGATATACACTTTTTGATAGTGGACTTTACACATACAAGTAACATCAATGCCACACTGTAAAGTGTCTCATCAGATCTACCTAAAAAACATTATTTCATGTGGTAACAAGTAAATTAACTAGTTTTATTCAACCTAAATAAATACTAAATAAAAACATTTTTTTAAATAAAGTTGAATAAAACTAGTTAATAAAACTAGTTTAATTGCTTATTACCATCTGATGAGACACTTTTTACAGTGTACATTATGATATCCTCTTTATTAGAGAAATAAAAAGGTGATTTCCATCATACAGCTGTGATTCTTTTCAAAAACCTGTTATATCCAAAATTTATACAAATAAATATACAGCATTTTGGAATGAAAGTCTTCAAATATAAGGTGGCATTCAGGCCACACACTCAATTAACACTGGGAAAATGTGTTTTTTAAGTATTGATTTATTCTTGGAATCATTTTACCTCACTGAATGATTTCTCTCATGTTTTTAGTTCAACCAAAACTAAAACAGGTGTTTCCATAGTATTTTTTGCTCATTTTACTAAAATAGCTCTTAATCTCTATTAAAAACTACATTATAACATAAAAAGAACATCTAATCTGAAGAACCATTAATCACATTCATAGGTGTCAGCAGCTACCATCTCACATGGTATTCACTCACTGCAAAAATGATACCTTAACACTTGAAATCATTTTAAATAGAGCACATATATGTAATAGTTCTCATTCTGAGGTGGTTGTAGAGATATTACAAGATTTTTTAACTTGTTTCTAAATGTTTTGTACTTGTTTGAAGTAAATCTCACCATATTGGCAGATAATTGTGCTTATTTCAAGCGCATTTCTTAAAAGAAGTCAAATTATCTGCCAATATACACTGTAAGTGTCTCATCAGATCTACTTAAAAATGACTTCATGTGGTAACAAACAATTAAACTAGTTTTATTAAACTAAAACTACATTGATTGAAAGGATCATTCATTCAGATTATTTATTTAGGTTGAATAAATCTAGTTAAATTGTTTGTTACCACATGAAGTAATTTTTAAAGTAGACCTGATGAGACACTTTTTACAGTGTAGGGGTCAGTTCACTTAATAAAGTTACTTCAAAGAAGTAAAAATGTCTAGAAATAAGTTAAATAATCTTATAATAACCTTATAACAATCTCAAAATGAGAAATATTAACATATTTAGATCTAAGATGTTTTTGCATAGCATTTTACAGCACAATAAAACAGATTCACTCACTCTGGGCAGAAGAGCAGGCGAAAAAGCAAACACGCTAACAGCGGCAGAAGATAAGAGCTGGTCATCTCTGCAGTGTCCTGTGCAAATAAAGTGGACAAGGGTGAACAGTCAGTCTAATATGTCAGTAAAGTTGAGAGTTAACAGAAGTTTGCCTTACCTTAAAAACTCTTTCTCTGTGGCAGACGGCTCTGACGGCTCTGACGGCACTGCCGAGAGTTTTTATAAGGGGAAGGTTGTGGTGTAATTCCCTTGGCTCGGGTTAGTCCGTATCCAGTCCAGTTAGACCATGAGTGTTAAATCTGTAATGGTCTGGCCAGTGACAGAGCAGGAATCTGACACTTCAGAGAGCGTTTCCCTCCTTTTCTGAGCAGCGTCTGGCGTAGATTTCTGAAAAAAAAGGAAAAAAGCCACAATGATTTACAGACAGTACTAGCTGACAAGCTGACATCACAGACTAGTCTAGTCCTGACGTGGTTAAAGACAAAATGTTCTACCTAACTGGCACGACTCCACAGTGTTGGAGAAAGAGGATCCACACACAGGTTCTTCAGTTTAGTGTTTTAGTGAGGATAAAAGAGACAGACAGTGGTGTCCAAAAGTCTGAGACCCCACAGAAAATCTGGTATTTCTTTCATGTAAACCCAGAAATAATGAATCTTCAAAGTAAAGTCATGACAATTAAAACAAAGAAAAAATATTTAAAATTCCGCACTAGTTCCAGGTCTCTATGTTGTTGAGCTGCACAAATCAGGAAATGGCAACGAACAATATCTAAACAGTTGAAAAGGCCCATTTCCACTATCACTGCAATAATTAAGACATTTGACCTCTTACTCTCCAGGGTATATTTTGGCTTGTCCAGCTGAATTTACATGACCAAATCATAAGGCAAATTATTCAGTAACTGCATGAAATAATTATAAATTTCTCCCCTCAAATTAACACAAAATGTGTTTTATGATCACACATATTGCTATATGCTTACAATTTACTGCTGAAAGCCAAAAATCTTAGACGCTCTTTGTATTATTTTATAAAAGTAATTTTTACAGAGCAGATCACTGAAGAGACGCCATCTGTTTATAGTTTATAGCTCAGATTTGTGGAAAAATGGGTCGACTTTCAATAGAAAAAAAAATTGTGAGTTCAGCTTCTTTTATTATAAGGGTTTAAAATTACATCACCCATCGATTTGACTGGAAAGAAGACAGTTACAGCTCTCATATGAGCCCCACCTTTAGAATGTAGCTTATGAAGTATGAAAGTTATGAAGAATATGACGAAGTGCGTTTTGGAACCACTGGTGGTCTCAAGGAGTTGAAAAGGTTAAACCAACTGGAAATGTTGAGAACCTGCTGGGAAGATGACGTGTGTCAAAATGACCTCACATAGTGGAGGATGGTATGAGTGGACAAAGAACCTCCAAGGATCACAGCTGGCGAACTGTAGACATTAGTTAGGTCTCGAAGTCTGAACGTCTCCCAGACTATAATCAGACAGTACCTACATATCCACAAGTTGTGGGGGAGGGTTGGCGGAATGAAGCCTCTGCTGTCTAAGACCAAGAAACTCAAGCTCCAACAGTTTGCCAGACGTTACTGGACCTTTCAGTGGGACCACGTTATATGGTCAGATGAGACCAAAATAGAGGTTTTTGGGAACAAACAGCAGAGTTGGACACAGATAGCCATGCAGTAAAGTACCTCATCCCCAGTGTGAAGTATGGTGGTGGATCTGTGATACTGTGGGGCTGCTTTTCTACCAAATGCCCTGACAGTTTATTTAGATACGTAGTATCACAGACACAATCCAGTACCAGCGGAAATAACATCAGAACCTCACTGTCTCGGCCAGGAAGCTTAAACTGGGCCATGTTTGGATCTTCCAGCAGGACAATGATCCAAAGCAAACCTCAAAATGACCACAGAATCAATGTTCTTCCATAAGCCACCCCAGCCCCCTGATCTAAACCCTATAGGAAACCTGTGGGATGAGCTAAAGAGGACAGTCTACAGTGTGGATCTCAGAGTCTGAAGGATCTGGAGAGGTTCTGTGTGGAGGTCTCAGATCCTTTGTGTTCTCCAGTCTCATTAAGCATTAAAGGAAAAATCTCAGAGCTGTTATCTTTGCGAAGGAAGGCTGCACATAGTATTAAATGAAAGGGTGGCAATAATTGTGGCACATATAGGTTTAAAAAAATGTTTATTTCTGGGTAATTTTTTTTTCATTGATTTTACTTCAAATAAAGGTTAGATTTTTGTTAATATTTTGAATGAAAGCTCAAAGGGATACACAATAAGGAATGTTTTATACAGCCTATTTTGCTCATGTTTACCAATACTTGTGGGGGGCCACTGAATCTGGGCCTTTTACACTTGAATAGGTACCTGATTTAGGCCACAATATGCTAAATTAAATTAGCATAGCTAAAAAGCAACCCACCACTTGAGACATCCTGTTCCATGTAACCTTGACACTTCTGGCTTATACTATAAATGAAGAGCTCTAGAATTATTTTTTTCTGCAGCAGCATGATTAAACTGAACGGCGGGTGTTAACAAAAGGGCCGGACACATTTCAGCTGTATACCTTATGTCCGCTGGATTCCTCACATGACCGTTTGCCTCATACGTATCCAAGCCAGGTAATTTAGCCCTGACAATGTTATGAAAACACCTCAGAAACCATGACACAGCTTGAAGCTATATTACCACCTTTATTCTAAATTCTCATACAGGTGTTTCCATGTACAGCACATAAAATGCAAGGCTGGTTTTCTCAACACTGGATCTCTTATTATAACCTTATTATGGACCTTTCCCTTAATCACCTTAGGTCCCAGTGCACAAAGGTACCCAGAGCAGCTCCTTATCACAGTGGGGAAAGCTGTGAAATGAATCGTTATCCAGTAACCTACAGTCCATTTGGCCATCTGTTAAATATACAACTACAGACTGTAGTCCATCTGTATCTCTCCATTCTTTGTTAACCCACCTTAACCCTGTTCTTCAATGGTCAGGACCCCCACAGGTCCACCGCAGAGCAGGTACTATTTGGATAAGCACTGCAGTGACACTGACGTGGTGGTGGTGTGTTAGTGTGTGTTGCGCTGGTGCGAGTGGATCAGACACAGCAGTGCTCCTGGAGTGTTTAAACACTGTGTCCACTCTATTGGACAGACTGCTGTGTCTGACCCACTCGTACTTGTACGACCTATGTGGTAAGTATGTTTCTTCTCATATCAAGGTTATTAATAAGGAGTTTGTCCTCCTTCAGTGCAGTAACAGACTCTACTCTTCTGGGAAGGCTTAACACTAGATGTTGGAACATTGCTGTGAGGATTTGATCGCATTCGGCCATTACTGCAACTCCATTCCAACTCATCCTGGAGGTATTGGATGGGGGTCCATCGTTCAAGAGAACACAATTCCACTGCTCCATAGCCCAGTGCTTGGCTTTATACACCTCTAGCCAACACTTGGCATTGGGAATGGAGATCTTAGGCTCATGTGCAGCTGACCCAGAGCATCCCATTCTATTAGCAATGCTTTCTAATGACAACACAAGTTGTTTGAAATTGAACACCTGTGTCAGCAGTGGATGCACCTTAAAGTAGGTGAATTCTCTAATTAGAAGCATGTCTTGACTGATTGACTGTTTTGGTTAATGGGAAAACTGAGTAAACTTGATGTTTTGCTGCACTGTTCCTTTAAGCTCTCGTCGTCTTACAGATTAATGTGCATCACTGCATCTCCATATTCAAGGGATGTAATAATAAAATAATAATAAAAACAATTGGTGTTTTTTTTCATTTTTTTGACCCCACAGTTTTTAAAATATTCACATCTACCAAACGGTTGAGATGGCACTTTGTGGCATATATGGTGACTCAAAATGTGCTCTACCAAATGTTTGAGTAGAACATTAAAGGGTTAAAAATAGAAACACACACAGACACAAGGAAGAGCAGATAACTAAAACTGAAAAAACAGGTTTTGCCCGATGTTAAAGTAGTGGTCTGTATGTAGTGAAGGATCTGCATCACACGGTTATTTACTGCTTACTACCATACAGCACCACGTTAGTCTGAGGACATGCTATTCAGATCTTCTGAACTCTGTAATAACTACGGAGCCCTGCTGGTGACATCCTGTATAAATAAAAATAATGCGTGGCCACAAGTTAGTAAGGCATGGGAACAAGATCCTAATGCGTGGCCACGACTTAGTAAGGTGTGGGAACAAGATCCTAATGTGTGGCCACGACTTAGTAAGGCGTGATCTCATTCCCACGCCTTACTAAGTCGTGGCCATGCATTTGGATCTCGTTCCCACGCTTTACTAAGTCGTGGCCACGCATTGTTTTTATTCATACAGGATGTCACCAGCAGGGCTCCGTAGTTATTCACATTTCAAGAGCGAAAGTAAGCTAATCATTTCAGCCGTTATTTCGAGAGGCTACAGTCTCAGTTTCGAGAAAATAAACAATAATTTCAAGACATTAGCCCAAAGATCGATAAAAGAAGTCATTATTTCAAGATACCAATCCAATATTTTGAGAAAATAAGTAATTATTTCAAGATACTAAGTCAAACATTTGAGCCGAGGGTTTGTTTCATATGGAGCTCTGCTGGTGACATCCTGTATCAGTAAAAATAAGTCGTGGCCACGACATAGTAAAGCGTGGGAACGAGATCCTAATGCGTGCCTTAAGAAGTCATGGCCACGGCTTAATTATGTCATTCCCACGCCTTACTAAGTCGTGGCCACGCATTAGGAACTTGTTCCCACGCATTAATAAGGCGTGGCTACGCATTAATTTTATTTGTACAGGATGTCATCATCAGGGTACTACGGAGCCCCGCTGGTGACATCCTGTATAAATAAAAATAATGCGTGGCCACGACTTAGTAAAGTAAGATGTGGGAATGAGATGATTAAGTCAAGGGCCACGACTTAGTAAAGCGTGGGAACGAGATCCTAATGAGTTGCCACGACTTAGTAAACTGTGATCTTGTTCCCACGCCTTACTAAGTCATGGCCACAACTTAATCATCTCATTCCCACGCGTTACTAAGTCGTGACCATACATTAGGATCTCGTTCCCACGCGTTAATAAGGCGTGGCCACGCATTAATGTTATTTATACAGGATGCCATCATCAGGGCACCGTAGTTTTCTCCTCTGTCTGATGGGAACGAGCTCCAGCTCTGTTATCAGACACTCAAAGTCCTCGGCCAACCTGTCGCCCCGCTCAGACCACCGGGACTGAACCACTGCGGTGCTGTTAGTGGAAGTGAGACGAGTCCGAGTACAAAACAGAAACACAACATATTTAATGTAATTTAAAGTGTATTCGAAAACAAACGTAACACAGAGACTAGTTGGTAAATATAAAGCGGGATATATTGAATAGGAGCAGAACTCCTGTGAAATGGTTTCGCCCGGCGCTGAGCCGGAGTTTGTGATTGGTGAACAGGATGTGCGCTGAGCCGAGCTGAGCCGAGCCAAGCCGAATTGAGCCGAGCTGTGTACAGAGTGTCCTGCGTGTTTTAATGCGGTCTTTGGAAACAACTGATTTTTGGCCTCAAAATCAGTTTGTCGATGGTCCAAATGACTTGACCGAAGTCGGAACCGACCAGGCGCTGGTGCGGGTGTTACAGTGTCGGCTATGCTGTAATGGCAGCCTCCGGGAAGACTGACTGATCCGCGCTGAGCTGGGAAAGCGACACAGCCGAGCAGGTTAGCTAGCGCAGCTTAGCCTAGCTTAGCTAGCCGGCCAACTCGGCCAGGTGTGAATTTGTTGTATAAATCTGGTTATTAAGTTGGTGGAACGGTCGTCGCTTGATTTTAAGCAAAATTACTTGCGTTAGAAATCAATGTTATTGGCGGACAAACGAGTTTAGACTGGCTAACGTTAGCTAAACGGCGCGCGTGCGGCATTAATGCTAGCTAGCTTTGCTAACCTGTCAGAAATCTTTGACACGTCGGAGGAAGAACTTTTCTCACGTTTGCTCAGTTTGTCTTTAAACTAGGGGTGTTTTGGTCATTAGCTAAGTTAGTCCTCGCTCCTATGAGTTATTTTGGACTGTTTGGTCACCAGAGGAACCAAGTATTAACGCACATTTAGCCTCTGCCCGCAACTTCTGTTTTCTGTCAGTGTTGCGTTAGTCAGTCTTAACTGGGTGAAGCCAGGCTGCTTCCACATCACGGGAATAAAGTAACAGTTATAAAATTAATAATCGGCTAATTATTTCCAAAAACTGTCCATTTGAGAAGGAACCGATCAGGCATAACATTATGACCACCTCCTTGTTTCTACGCTCATTGTCCATTTTATCAGCTCCCCTTACTATATAGGTGCACTTTGTAGTTCTACAGTTACAGACTGTAGTCCACCTGTTTCTCTGCATACTTTGGTAGCCCTTTTACCCTGTTCTTCAGTGGTCAGGACCCCCATGGACCCTCACAGAGCAGGTACTATTTGAGTGGTGGGTCATTCTTAGCACTGCAGTAACACTGATGTGGTGGTGGTGTGTTAGTGTGTGTTGCACTGGTCTGAGTGGATCAGAGTTTTTAAACACCTCAGTGTCACTGCTGGACTGAGAATAGTCCACTAACCGAAAATATCCAGCCAGCAGCGTCCTGTGACCACTGATGAAGGACTAGAGGATGACCAACACAAACCGTGCAGCAGCAGATGAGCTATCGTCTCTGACTTTACATCTACAAGGTGGACTGACAAGGTAGGAGTGTCTAATAGAGTGGACAGTAAGTGGACACAGTGTTTAAAAACTCTAGCAGCACTGCTGTGTCTGATCCACTTGTACCAGCACAACACACACTAACACACCACCACCACGTCAGTGTTACT